GGTGTTGGAGGAGAATACTAAAAATGCCATGGGCTGCCAAAAGAACCAATAGATCTGTTTTTGAAGAGGTGCAGCCAGAGTCCTCCCTGAGGCCAAAATGGCTAAACTTTGTCTCTCCTACTTAGGACATATTGTCAGGAGGGAACAGTTGCTACAGAAGGACGTAATGTTGGGTAAGATGGAGGGTCAGAGAAAGAGAGGAAGACCCCCAACGAGATGGATCAGTCAGGTGTCATCATTGATGGCATCAAATGTGAGAGTGGTAGTGAGGTTGGCCCAGGATTGGATATTGTTTCGTTCTGCTGTGCATGGGGTCGCTATGAGTTGGTTCCAACTCGATGGCACTTGACAACGACAACAAGACATGGTCTACTCTGGAGAATGTTCCCTGTGCACTGGAAAAGAATGTGTGATGTGCTGTTGTTGGGTTGAATGCTCTGTACACATCTACGAGGTCCAGTTGGCTGATTGTGTTGTTCAGTTCTTCTGTGTCTTTGTCAAGTTTCTTTCTGGTTGTTCTAGCCATTTTTGAAAGCAGTGTATTAAAATCATCCACTGTTATGATAGATTTGTCTATTTCTTTTTTCAAATCTATTGGAGTTTGCTTTATATATTTTGGATCTCTTTCACTGGGAGCATAGATATTTATTATGGTTATGTAATCTTGTTCAACTGTCCATTTAATCATGAGGTAATGTCCATCTTTGTCTAATATGCTGGTTTTTGCCTTAGTTTATTTTATCGGCGATTTGTAAGTACTGCCACTCCTGTTCGTTTGTTTTTTAATTGCAATTAGCTTGGTATATTTTTTTCCATATTTGACTTTCCATCTGTTTTTGTCTCTGTGTGTGAGATGTGTCTCTTGCAGACAGCATATTGAAAGAACTTGTTTTCTTATCCATTCTGCCACCATCTCTTAACTGGTGCATTTAATCTGTTTACAGTCAGTGTAATTATCGATAGGCATGGATTAATTGCTGACATTGTTTTTTGTTTTTGTGGTGTTGCTGCTTTCTTTGTTCTATGTGTCTTCCTTTGCTGAGTTCATGCTTTTTGTGTTCTTTCTTGTGCATTTCCTCAGTTTTAATGTTTCCATGTTCCTGGATTTTCATTTCCTTTGTATGTTGTAAAGTGTTAATTTTCTTTGAGATTACCTTATAGTCCATTAACTTTTCCCTCCATTTAGTACAGTCTATTTTATCCTGTAATGTACCTAATCTTCTCACCATTTGGATCTCTGTTCCTACAGTTTATCTTCTTTTATGTTGTAATTGTTTTGATCATAGACTGACTTCCCAGATTCTCTGAGTTTGTTCTTACAGTTTTGTTCTGTTCTCGACATTTCCTTCTGTCGATTTAGTTCAGGGAGGTGATGCCACGTGTGTCAGTCTCTGATTGTTGTCTGTTCTTGTTGGTTCTCAGTCCACAGAACTCCCTTTGGCAAAATCCCTTAGCTTGTTTATCCTAGAATGTTTTGATTACATCATCATATTTGATTGATACCTTTGCTGGATAAAGGATTCTTGGTTGGCAGTTTTCTTCTTTCATGGTTGTATATATATCACCCCATTGCCGTCTTGCTTGCATGGTTTCTGTTGAGAGATCCGAGCTTAATCTGACTTGCTTGCCTTTGTATGTAACACTTCTGTTTTACCTAGCTGCTTTCAGGAATGTCTCATCTTTGATTTTGGAGAGCTCGATTATGATATGTTTCAGTGATTTTCTTTTGCAGTCTATCCTTCCTGTGGGGTTCCTTGAGCTTCTTGAATGTTTATCTTTTCAGGATGTTAGAGAAATTTTCTTCCTGAAGTTCTTCAACGATTTCCTCTGTGGACTTATGTGATTCTTCCTGTTCTGGAAAGCCGATAATTCTTGTTATTCCTCTTCATGTTGTCCAACATGAATCTTAGATCTTCAGTTTTTTTTTCTGTTTGCTCTTCTTAGTGGTATTGAGGCATTTGTCTTCCAGCTCACTGATTCTGCCTTCCATCTCTTCTATTCTACTCCTTTGCCCTTTCAGTGTATTGTCTATTTCTGAGATTCTATTATTGATCGTTTGGACCTTTTTCTGTAGGTTTTGAATGGTTTCCAATACTGTATCTATCTTATTTGATTGTTCCTGTAGCACTTTCCTGCCTTCTTCCTTATTTTTCTCAACTCCACCGGGAAGTGTTTTGAAACATTTTACAATCATTTTTCTGAATTCTTTCTCAGGCATTTCCAAAGGGTGCCGTCCTTCCAGGATGGAGTCCAGGTCTACCTCTAGGCCATTTCTGTTAGACATTTTATCGTATATTTGGACATGTGTTGATATGGTCATTGGCTTTTGCTTCTTGGACATGTTTAGTGTTTATCTGTGGCCTTAATATTTAACTATGTAGTTTTGGTATGTTTTATGCTTTCTGATTGCTTCCCGGTAGATGTGATCACACTCTTCTTATTGCTTAATCAGAGTAACTTTCACAGGTGTCTGTCTCCCTGGTATATGGCAGTTGGTATTGGTTCTTGCCTAGAAATTGGTGTTTTGTACAGCGTGATTGTAGCTTAATTATATGGTATCGGTTGCGGTCTCTTCGTCGGTGATACAGGGAAAGAAAGAGTCCCACAAAGGTAGAAGGGGCAGCATAAAACAGCAACCACAAAAAACAATAACAAGAGAGATTTCAAGATGCCACTGTTGGTTGTTATGCTGTACCTCAGGATTTAATTTAATTTTTGGCCTGTTTTGATTTTAAACTCTTTCCCACTCCACACCCATTGTTTTCTGGCCTTTGCCAAATTGAAAAAAAAAAAAAAAGTTCAGGGCCTGCTCTTGTGCTGAGAGTATCTACACCCATGTGCGGGAGTCCAGCTCTCTCAGGGTGACGGGACAGGTGAGTAGACGTGGAATCAGCGAGAATGAAAGCAATCGAGGAGTCTCTGCTTAGTTGGCTGATGGGGCTCTCTCTCTTTTACTTCTCTCTCTTTCTGCCCCGGCTCAGCAAGTCTTTATTTTTACACTTAAAATTATACAGTACAAAATAATTTGATATTTTGATTTTCCCTTCAATTTTTACAGTTTTAATCATAACATTCCTCCACCCTGTGATCATACAATCTTAATAAAAAGTATTTCTGAGATGTCCAAACGGACCTTTCCATATTCTGTTCATTTTTCAACTATTTTACATTTTCCTCTTGACATCATCTCCTCTCCTACATTATGTGATAAATTGCTGATTTCTACTAAAAGATCAAGGTAAACCTTACACAAATCATTTCCACTTCTCAGATCCCTGATTACATCCTCTTAGTAATATGTTTCTATTAATCATCAATGGCTACACTACTTTATTATTTCTACTAATTATCAAACTTCTATCCTACATAATGTACTACTATTTTTCATAGTAAAGGTATTACGAACATCTACTTATTTTGTTTTTCTAAAGTATTCATTAGATTGCTTAACCACAGTGTTCCTATGTTCCTTTCTTTTGAAGCTGTGAGGCATAAGGCCCAACCTGGCTATTTGCTGCAGGAAATGTAGATTATCAGATTATTTTTCACTTATGCTCACTGTTCTCTGCCTATTTACATAGGTGCCTGTATGTAATACTGGGGATCTGTAGATTCTGGCTGGTAATTGATTGTGGTGAGGTCCGTAGGTGTCGGTCAACTTTACTGTAATTTGTTCTCTGCTTTTGTGAGCTCATAAATGCAGTTACTTTTTACTTAGGTTTTCTGTGATCGGGAGTGGCTCATACAATTAATTCCATTTGAATTCAAACCACTGAAGTTGAAACAATTGTTGCCAGACCGGTTTCTTCCCAAGGCCTGCAGAGCTCACAGTAAAGGCTGTGAATATGGCCATATTATATATTTTTACAAGTGAATTCAGAGTTATCTTACAGAGAAGATAGAAGCCAGCTTCTGAGAAGCATCTGCTTTGCATGACGTTTCTCCTTCTGCTGGGACCGTGTCAAACAGCAGAAGCCAAGCCGCATGTGTGGCAGAAGAACCCACCAGTGGTGAGGTTGGGGGGTGTCCACTTGCTCAGGCACCCCGCTCTAGTCACCAGAGAGGAGGTGTGCAAACAGTGGGCGGACAATGAACAGATATTTGAAAAAGAAAATCAGAACATAGCAAAACCGACAAAAGTGAATTGTCCACATTTCCTCTGAGGTTCCTGCAG